TAGGGTGGGAGCGCAGGACAGGAGCGACGGTACGAGCACGGGAGGGACGGTGAGACCAAACGTGGGACGGAGGTGTAGAGTCAGGAGACAGAGGAGGGGACACAGGAGGGGAACGAGGAGGAAGATGGGCCAGAGATGAGGCCGGCGGCAGGAACACAGGACCGTAGACAGGAAAGTCAGAAGGCGGTGGGGGAGATACCGGCAAGCGGTCAGGGGAGGGAAGGCCGAGCAGGCGGAGAGCGGAGACTGCTGGGCCGCAACCCTCGGACCGGCAGGGGCAGGACAACCGCCGGCAGAACACTCAACAGCAGCACCCCCAGAACCATCACCCCCAGAGCGAGAACCCACTCCAATACCAGCGGCACCCCCAGGAGCCGCAGGACGAACACCCTCCTCAACGCCAGCACCCCCAGAGGCCAAGAGCCGCGGCGGCAGCGTCGGCAACGACAGCGGCGACGACAGCGGCGGCGACAGCGGTGGCGTCGGCGACGACGGCGACAGGGGCGGCGGCGGCGACGACGGCGGCAGTGGCTGCGGCGGAGTCGACAACTGCGATCTTGGAGGCGGAGACACCGGGGAAGGGGGACGCGGAAAGGACGGGCTGGGGGTACCACCAGAGTCAGCAGACTCCTCAACGGGGACAACCGACGAGAGGGGAGTGACGTGAGAGACACCAGACGGGGCAGGACGAGGCGGGAGAGGAGCAGGGGCTACCGGGAGAGAGGGAGCAAGGAACAGGGGCGGGGCAACCGGGAGACCTCGGTGAGGGAAGCGATGGTAGAAGGAGACAGACTTGTCAAAGGTGACGTCACGAGAGTGGAGGAAGCGGTGAGACGGCGGGTGGTAGAGAAGCCAGTCAGACAAGTCAAGGGGGAAACCGAGGAAGACACACGGGACAGTGCGGGCAGTGAGCTTGTCCGTGCCAAAGGCACGAACGTGAGCAAGGCAGCCCCAGACGTGGAACGCGGACGCGTCATCGGGGGACCCAGTCCAAAGGAGGGTCGGCGAAACCTGCGGCCGCTGGGAGCGTGGCCGCAAGTTAAGCTGGTGAGCAGCGTAGCGAACAGCGAACAGCCACAGAAAATGGGGTGCACCGGCATGGATCATGGAGGTATGAGCCACCTCCATGACCAAGCCGATGCGGTGCTCAGCAACCCCATTCTGTTGTGGCGAGTCCGGCAAGGTGTACGACTGGGTGATGCCCTCCGCACGACAGAACTGTCCAAGCCGACCAGAGGCGAACTCGCCGCCACGGTCAGAGTGGAGACACAACATTAGGAGACCGCGGTGAAGACGCGCAGCCACAACCCACGGTAAAAGATTGTCGGGCACGTCGGCCTTCCGCTCCAGGGGAAACACCGTGGTGTAGCGCGTGTAGTCGTCGACGAGCACAAGGAAGTGGCGCTCACCACGCGGTCCGGGGACGGGGGCAGGGCCCCAAACGTCCAGGTGCAGGGTCTGAAGGGGGGCAGTAGCAGGGTGCAGCGAGAAGGAGTGAGGAGCACGGCGAAGCCGGCCCTCGACGCAGGGCGTGCACGGTGGCGCAGTCGAGGGGGGAAGGGCAGGGAGCGACGCGGGGAGGCCTAAGACAAGACCGTGCTGAGACATGTGACGCAAACGAGGGAGAGCAAGGTGACCTAAGCGGTGGTGCCATAGAAGGGACGGGAGTGTGAGGGACCGGTAGAGCAAGCTGCAGCGACCTGGGAGGACGCACCAACCAGGGGGGAAGCGGTGTCTAGGTTGAACAGACCGGACACCTGGTCCCGGGGGAACGTCGCAAGGGGGGAACCTGAGACAGCCTCAGAACAGACAGCGAACCGCCCATGCCCGGGGAACGTGGTGGTGACGCCGAGGTCCTGGAGACAGCCGACACCAACCAGGTTCCTCGAGAACGAGGGAACGTGGAGGCCTGTAAGGGAGCCCGAGGGAACTGCTGGACAGGGTAGGGAAGTGGAGCTGCGGGCGACGACAGGACCCGCAGAGGGGTCAGCGAGAGAGACAACAGCAGGCGCAGCAAGCGGCGTGAGCGTGGAACGGTCGCGGAAGAAGCAGGCAGAAGCACCGGAGTCGAGAGTGAAGGACAGCGAAGCAGTGGCGGAGGCCGGGAACGGAGCCGGTGCAGAGACAAGGCTAGGCAAACTACGCAGTCCTACGCCTGACGCAGCAGGGGAGGCTAAGCTACACAAGGGTGCAACACCTAAACTAGAGTACACTGGGTAATAAGATCCAGCAACACTAGAAGCGTCAGAATACAAGGCATGCAAAGCAGCACCTATCTGATCCATGTCTAGCTCAAAGATCGGCACGCCCTGGCGGAGGAGGCAGTGCCAGTCGGGGAGGTCCGGGGCCGGGCCAAAGCAACGACGAAAGAGATCGTCGAGGCGGCGGAAACAGCGGGCGGTCGGGTGCGGGCGGCGGCACAGAGTGCCGCAGAGAGGCCCGGTCTGAAGCTGGTACTGGCAGGTCACAGCCCCGGAGCCGCCGGTAGACGCCGAGCTGCGCGGGCCGCCACCACGGCCACTACCTCCGGAGGTGCCGGGCCAACCAGGCGGGAGACGGGCCCACTGCTGCGGCGGCTGCTGCTGAGACGGCGGCTGCTGCCGGGATGGCGGCTGCTGCTGGGGCTGCTCCTGCTGCGGAGGGGACTGCGTCTGCTCCTGCCCACCAGTGGTAGGCCTCTCAGGCGGACTATCGTCACCACCACCACTCCCACCACCACCAGCGCCACCACCCCGACCTCCTAGGCTGCCACGGCCACTGCGACGCGAGCGCTGCTGCGGGTGGACCACAGCAACAGTCTCGGTAAGAGGGGTCGCAGTGCGGACCGCAGCCGAAACATCAGTAAACGTGCACTGGGAGGGGGCACAGTCGTGAAAGATAGAGACTGCCGGCGCACCGCTCGACTGAGCGATAGTGCGCTGGCGAGTCTCGATCTCGGTGAGGGTGTCGACAAAGGCGGTGAGGGTGAGGTCACCTGGGTGCTGGCTAAGGAAGTGGTCGCGAGCACTAGCTAGGCGGTCCGGCAGGCGCATGGCGATAAAATAGAGCGTCATGCAGAAAAGGGGGGGGGAGCGCAGCGAGCTGGGCAGCAGTGCTGGCAGTGCGATAGCGAGTCTCTAGGGCACGCAAGTGAGTGGCAAAGTCTACGACAGTAGGGAAGGCAGCAAGGTCTAGGAACAGCATCGGGAAGAGCAAGCGGCCGGCAGAAGCGGATGCAGGTGTGGAATAGCAAGCAATAACGGCGTCTAAATAAGCTTTGGCCGTATCAACCGTAGCAAAACGCGAGCGCTCAAACACAGGGAGGGCGTGGCTAATAGCAACCTGAGCTATTGCATCGCGGGAGTCCCAGACCGCACAGGCAAGCGCAGCAGTAGAGAAGGTCTCACGGTCATCAGAGGAGGGGTCAGCAGGGAGGGGAGCAGGGGCAGGGGGGCGGGGGAGCAAGCCATCTACATGGACAACCAAAGAGTGGCCATCCTGGCACTAACCTGTAAGGTGGCAGCGGAGATCGGAGTGCCAGGCGGCGAAGTCAACCGCGTGGCCCTCAGCGTCCAGTCGGAGCACGAAGTCAGCCATCGTGCAGGGTCAGCGGCACAGTTCCATAGGAACACAGCGACGCGGGGACACAGCGGCAGCACTCTCCAGCACGGCGGCCGCGAGGCGCCCCAGCACTGGCGAGCAGAGTAGACGGAGCCCGAGGTGGCACGGCAGAACGAGCAGGTACGAAGATGGGCCGGGCGGGTAGTGGGAGAGGCCAGGCAGACGCGGCGGGGCCAGGCAGGCGCAGAGGGGCCAGGCAGGCGCGGCGGGGCCAGGCAGGCACGGCGGGGCCAGGCAGGCGCGGCGGGGCCAGGGAGGCGCGGCGGGGCCAGGCAGGCGCGGCGGGGCTAGGCATGCGCGGAGGGGCCAGGCAGGTGCGCTGGGGCCAGACAGGCGCGGTGGGGCCAGGCAGGCGCGGCGGGGCCAGGCAGGCGCGGCGGGACCAAGCAGGCGCGGCGGGGCGAGGCAGGCGCGGCGGGGCTAGGCAGGCGCGGCAGGGCCAGGCAGGCGCGGAAGGGCCAGGCAGGCGCAACGGGGCCAGGCAGGCGCGGCGGGGCCAGGCAGGCGCGGCAGGGCCAGGCAGGCGCGGAGGGGCCAGGCAGGCGCGACGGGGCCAGGCAGGGCGCGACGGGGCCAGGCGAGCGCGACGGGGACAGGCAGGGCGCGACGGGGCCTAGCGGACGCGACGGGGCTCGGCAAGGCGCGATGGGGCCTAGGAGGGGTGCTAGGAGGCGCGACGCGGCCCAAGAGGGGGCGCGACGGGGCTAGGAGGCGCGACGGGGCCCAGGAGGGGCGCAATGGAGCTAGGAGGCGCGACGAGGCTAGGAGGCACAACGGGGCCCAGGAGGGGCATGACGGGGCTAGGAGGTGCGACGGGGCCCAGGAGGGGCGCAACGGGGCCCAGGAGGGGCGCGACGGGGCTAGGAGGCGCGACGGGGCCGAGGAGGGGGGCGACGAGGCCCAGGAGGGGCGCGACGGGGCGAGGAGGCGCGACGGGGCCTAGGAGGGGCGCGACGGGGCCAGGAGGCGCGACGGGGCCCAGGAGGGGCGCGACGGGGCTAGGAGGCGCGACGGGGCCCCAGGGGGGGGGGGGGGGCGCGGCGTGGCCTAGCTAGGGTACGGGCGGAAGCGGTAGGTGAGGGATTCTAACCTACGCGTAATACCATGTAAACGTAAGAACAGAATGATTGACTAGAAGTGGAAACATAGAATAAGAACTAGTTGGTTGTATTCACTAGAAGCATACCTCAATCTAGCCTATAACTTTTACATAGCTAATATGTATAAGTTGACACATATGTATAAGTTGACAATATTCCCCTGTAGCATCTTATTCTAGTCACGTCACTCATTCTCACGTTCACACAGGGTACCTCAAAACCAATATGAGGCCCTGATTTTTATATATTTCCCTCACATTTCTCGTCAGATAGTATTGTTCGAGTGTCTGGTAGTTTCAAAGTTTTGGGACTCCTCTATTGGAACACAATTTGTAAAAACAAAAGCTGTATGCACAAAAACACCTCCAACCATACCATCAATCTCGCTGCGAACTTCTAGCCATTTTCCACATGCAGCCTCTAATCCATCCTCTCCTGGATCTTCACATCGCGGACATTAGGCTCGCCTTCCTTCGGTGGCTCGGTTGGCTGCTTCTTAGGCACGGTCACAGTCAGCACGCCGTTTTCCGTATTTGCCGACACCTTATCCACCTCCGTGTTTTCCGGCAGACGGAACCTGCGGAGAAACTTCCCGCTGCTCCTTTCCATGCGGTGGTACCTCCCAGTATCCTCCTTTTTCTCGCGTGTACGCTCGCCGCGAATCGCGAGCACGTTCCCGTCTTCGATCTGCACCTTAACCTCCTCGCGTCGCAGCCCCGGCATGTCTGCGATGAACTTGAACGCGTCGTTGGTTTCGCGAACGTCAACCGCCGTGCGAGCGATGTCCTGCGAGATCGCAGATCAGATTAGGTAGGAAACGAAGGACACAAGGGTGAGGCGAAAGAAACGTCGGGACTCTTTGACTTTAAAAAAGGGATTTGTAAAGCACGCATATTCCGTAAAAGGCACGCTCAAACACCAAGAGCGGAAATAAGAGAACGAGAGAATGTGTTACTGACTCACCTGCGTCTCGCGGAGAAACGAGGCGGTGGGTGCCTCGAAGAGCGAGCTGAACTCGTCGGGGAAGCGCATCCAGCGTGGCATCATCTCCAGCGGGCCCGTGGGGGACGTCAGAGAAGTCATCGTGCCGAAGGGGTCCATCATGCCGGTCCACGGAGCGAGAGCCATGGCGGATAGTAGACGAGATAGAGATGTTCTACGAACTGAAAATCTCAAAGGTTAATGACAAGAACTGGGTGCGTCGTAAGCTCGTTATGAGAGCAGAGAGAGAGATAGAGCTCTAAGGGCGCAGGAAAGCAAGTTCAAAACTCGATGGATAACCGAGCAGAACGAGCAGTTTAAATACTTGGCTCTCCCTGCGTCGATGGGATCAAGTTCCCGCGTCGCGCCTAGGAGCTTCTGGTAGCATCCATGGCATAACATAATGGAGAACCGGCGCGGGGGACAGTTATGCATGAAAAGTTCTCGAAGTATGGCGAAGCAACGCGTGGACATGGCACGAACTAAAAACTCATCGTAACGATGCTTGAGACGCATCGAGAAATGCCGAGCATGGATGCGGGGCGCGTCTAGAGAACCCTACCAGGCGCGAGTAGGCGCCTGTAGGCGGTGCGCGCCAGCGTAGCGGAACGCATTGCATGGCGAAATAGCGGAGCATCTAGAGAGGCGTAGCATGTGCGAATGACTGTCAGCAACATATTGCATGGCGGTAACGTATTGCATGGCGGTAGCGATGCTTGCGGCGTTGGCGCGGGAGACGAATGGCGAGGCACGTGACGAGAAGGTGCTAGTTGTGTCTGGAGACACTGGGGCCGTGATCGGTAAGCCGTTATTCCGGAATACGGATGGTGTCGAGCAATTTCTCAGGGCTGGCTCGGAATAGGCTTAAAGCCAACCAATCTTTTTAATCACACCAAACCTCCTGGAATAGAGGTGTGTACCGATCACAGGAATGACGAAGGCTGGAATACGGAATGAGGAAAGGGCACCCTAGGTGCTGACTCGGGCGAAATCGTGCCAACCGCCGGTCGATGTGAATTCCAGCTCTTTTGCAAGAATAGCTGGGAATAGTGAAGAGTGGGGCAGTCCAAACGAAATAACGGATGCCCTTATTTCGGAAACGGAAAAACGTCGAATACCCATTACCAGCATGTGTCTGACCGCCAAGAAAACAAATTCAGGGTCGCATTTCGATATCCAGCCAGATGCAGGGCCCTAAACAAAAAAAATTGCAAGAATCCCTCTTGTTTTTCGCGACCCAGATCGTGGCGGGCAAGTTTGGAGATTTGCCAGCTCAGACGCGTCAGTTACATCACGCAATTTCGCCCATAAACCTGACCAACTTCTCGCACTACCCAACCTGGCAAGTCAACGCACGGAATAGAGAAAGCTCGCAGCGGATTCCGCATTCTGTCTTCCGCATTCTGGAATAACAGCTTACGATCACGGCCTAGCCCTGATCGGTTGGCCGTATTCTGGAATCAGGATGGTGTCGAGCAATTTCTCAGGGCTGGCTCGGAATAGGCTTAAAGCCAATCAATCATTTTAATCACACCAAACCTCATGGAATAGAGGTGTGTACCGATCACCAGAATAAGGAAGGCTGGAATGCGGAATAAGGAAATGGCACCTAGCTGCAGACTCTGGCGAAATCATACCAACAGCTGGTCGATGTGTATTCCAGCTTTTTTTCAGGAATAGCTGGGAATAGTGAAGAGTGGGGCAATCCAGACGCAATAACTAATGCCCTTATTTCGGAAACGGGAAACGTCGAATACCCACAATGAGGCTGTGTCTGACCGCCAAGAAAACAAATTCAGGGTCGCATTTCGATATCAAGCCAGATGTGCAAGGCCCTAGACAAAAAAAAATTGCAAGAATCCCTTTTGTTTTTTGTGACCCAGATCGTGGCGGGCAAGTTTGGAGATTTGCCAGCTCAGACGCGTCAGTTAGATCACGCAATTTCGCGCATAAACTAGCCCAACTTCTCGCACTACCTAACATGGGAGGCGTTCGTGTTAAAGTAGCACTAGGCTAGGAGGAAGTGAAAGGAGGCCGCCATGGTTGTGGCGGCGGGGTTTAGCTAGGAGAGTAGGAAAAATGTCGAGAGGAAAGAGAGTTGGATTAGGAAAAGAGAGGAGTACAAGGAGGGGTTTGTACCCTCTACAGAAAAGGTTCAGTAACAACCTACCAAGCCTATATAAATTATAACTTATATAATTTTAACACACCCCCTAGGCTTGGTAGTCACACACCCACCCAACACACCACACACCCCCTAACCTAGCACCCCCATTCCAGCCACAGTGACAGCGACACTAGGTCAGTCGACCCCACGGTACGTGAGGCGGCGACGTCGACCGCAGGGGTTGCGGCGGCGACGGCGGCAGCGGCGGCAGTGTCGACAGCGGCGGCGGCGGCGGCGTGCGGCTGTGTGGCCCCGACACAAGCGGCGACAGCGGCGGCGGCGGCGGCTTCGACAACAGCGGCGGCGGCGGCGGCACCCGCACCTCTCGGTGACGTGGCCAGGCCCCGCGATGGTGGGACGGCCGGCGGGAGTCAACTGTCGGCTGCGGCAAGATACAGGACACAGGGGAAGGGGGGCGGGGCGTGGTCCAGCCTCACGCTTGAGGCTGGCGTGCGGGCAGCAGGTGTGGCGGCGCCATGAACGTCGCGCGGCAAGCTGCCGTCCGACGACGCTGCCACGGCAGCATTACGACGCCGACACATCGCGGCGTCGATGCAGCGGTGGGACGTCGCCGCTGCGACGGTAAGCACGGCGCCGTCACAGCAGTGTGGCGTCGACGCCACTCGTCACGACGCGACGGCACGGCAGGAACGGGCATGGCCGCCACGGCGGCACGGCAGGAAGTCGGAAGGCAGTGAACGAGAACGCAGCGGAAGGACGGAGGGGAGCAGGCCCAAAAAGGACGTCCTGCTCTCGATACCATGTTAAAGTAGCACTAGGCTAGGAGGAAGTGAAAGGAGGCCGCCATGGTTGTGGCGGCGGGGTTTAGCTAGGAGAGTAGGAAAAATGTCGAGAGGAAAGAGAGCTGGATTAGGAAGAGAGAGGAGTACAAGGAGGGGTTTGTACCCTCTACAGAAAAGGTTCAGTAACAACCTACCAAGCCTATATAAATTATAACTTATATAATTTTAACAGTTCGCTGACCAATTTTTTACCGGCACGGCGAGGGAAATCAGGCATGGGGAACATCGATCGAGGCTTTGTGGGTTCGCCGAACCCAATTTGCGAAACGTGTCGTCAGCATGCGAAAACGTCGCGTCGGTTCGGTTTCCCCAAACCAATTGCCCCCAAATTGCGTGCTCCTTCTCATGCCAAACCCGAAGCGCGGCCATCAGCCGCCCAGAGCTGCCAGGGAAACTACGTGCCACACCTCATACTGCAAAATCGTGGTATGAGGCAGGCCAAGATTGGCATGCCTCTTGGCTGGGCAGGTTTACGAAACCTAAAAAAAAACCGCAGCCACTTCCCCTTCAATCCTACCCGTCGATTTGCGCAATTGCGCCAGCTCATACCCATCCAATCGGTCACATTTTGAAATGTAAAAAAAATGCGCAGTTTTGACAAAATTGTGTGAATCTCATTTTCTCCACTAGATTTTCCACGAAAGTACGATTGGCTAAAAGGGCTTTTGATGGGCCCCATTCTTCACTGTCCGCGAGTTTGTCTTATCAGTCCTGCAGTCGTGTCCGACGTAATCATGAGCCGGCGACGTTATGATTACCAAAGTACGGGGGCACAAAAAAAAATACGTAGCTTTGGCTGCACGGATTGGTCGCCCGTTCCCCTCCCCGTTCCCCTCAAAAAATTGCCAGCGAACGGCCCCCTGACGAGTCAACGCGCGGAATACGGAAAACTCGCAGCGGATTCCGCATTCCGTATTCTGCATTCCGGAATGACGGCTTACCGATCAGGGCCGCTAAGATCGCCTTCAGAAGTTTGGACAACAACCGAAGCTTGCACAAGAAAGTTGGTTTCTCAATCTTTACACCTATCTACACTGAAAAAAGCAGATCCTAGGTTTGTTTGCCGAGGCCGAGGTCTTCACCTAAACGTGCATTGTAACAGTGCGTTTTAACGAGAAATTGGCGGAGCGGTCGAGTTTCTACAATATCTGCTTCGGATTGGGGACTGTAATTAGTCTACCTTTAATACCACGAGTATACCCGCTATTTAGACTGTCATCTCGAGAGAAAGGAAAAGTTATTCTCCTGTCCAAACATCGGTTGTCGTCCACACTTCTGATGGCGACCTAACGCGTTATGGCCTCCCTCACTTTCGCTTGTTACATGCTTGACATGAAGCTGGACGGATAAACTCGGTGTACCCATTTCGAACCGGCTTAAAACATGAACGGGTGCAGATCAAGTTTTAGTCCAAATAAGGTGGTAATTGTGGTTGCTTTCTGATTGGGGAGCATAATATAGTATGAGTGTGCTGGAAGGACTCGAATTAGATGGCCACGTTTCACCTCCATTTATCGTTTTTATTTTTAAATAGATCTTGTAACAATGACGAAGTGTCCCTATGACGATACCACCACTCCCCACACAAAGACGTGCCTCTGACGACGTCGCTCCAGCGGTTGCACCGAGGTGAGGAAGTCTCAATGAAGTTCGCATACCATTCACGGTACGGAAGGCCATTGGCCCGAGAGACTCTGCAACCATCGCACGATTGCACCGAACGACGCCTTGACCTGTCGCCTGCTTGCCACTTGCCCGCGAAGTCCTCTAATCACTCTTACCAAATCACACTTGATCAGGCAGCGCCATAAAGCCTAAATAGCTCCTTTTGCGCTTATTCCACGTGCGTGCCGGTCAAGCTCGACGTGTCCGAGTGGCCTTTTCGCACATTGGCTCTTTTTGTTCGTGAATCAACTTATTTAGGCGACTAATCCGGCCCATGCGAGACAGTTGCTTTCTTCTTAGGGGTCTAAAAGCCTCTTAGGCTACGACGGTCACAGAAGGATTAGGATCAGGTAAAAGTCGAGAAACGTGGAAACGCGAGGAATGGTCGAACGGTCGAGGCCTCTGGTCGCTAGAACGTTTTGCTCGTTATAGAATACTGTTCGCTATAGTGACAAGAATGAGATTAACTCTATGAGAGAAGCAACAGCGCGTCAGGAGAGCGGCCAGTGGTAATCAGGAGATCTGACAAGGAAGCACGATAACCTTGGATCGTCACACACCCACCGGTGAATTGTCGAGTCCGCGCAGGAACGGGACTCACTGGAGGGAAGGACCCAAGCAGCCAAGCAAGCGCGGGAAGACAGCGACAGAAACAGCGGACAGAGGCCGGCGCAGTTGAGTGAATTCCATAAGTTCTTTTATCTACGCAAGCGCGGCGATAAGAGCGGCGCGATGAGCGGCGTGATGTCGGATCTGGACCGTCAGATCGAGCAGCTGAGGCGATGTGAGCCGTTGAAGGAGTCGGAGGTGAAAGCGCTCTGTATGAAGGCGATGGAGGTGCTGGTGGAGGAGAGCAACGTGCAACGAGTCGACTCGCCTGTAACGGTAAGGTTTGCTTTTTACATAAGCTTGGCTTGTAACAGTAACCAGATGCGTGAAGGAGTCGGAGGTGAAAGCGCTATCCATGAAGGCGATGGAGGTGCTGGTGGAGGAGAGCAACGTGCAACGAGTCGACTCTCCTGTAACGGTAGGGACTATTTTCGCATAACGTTCGCATGTAACAGGTAACCAGATGTGCACGAAGGCCATGGAGGTGCTGGTGGAGGAGAGTAGCATGCAGCGGGTCGACTCGCCTGTAACGGTAAGTACTAATCTTCGCGTGTAACAGTAACCAGGTGTGCAAGGAGGCCGTGGATGTGCTGGCTGCTGGTCGAAGAGAGTAACGTGCAACGATTTGGCTCTCTTTTGTAACACTAAGAATACGTTTTTAACGTAAGGTCTGCTTGTAACAGTAACCAGATGCGTGAAGGCAAAGGAGGTGTTGGTGGAGGAGAGCAGCGTGCAACGAATCGACTCTCGGGGAATGGTAGGGAATAGCATGTGACAGTAACCAGGTGTGTAAAGGCCAAGGAATTGTTGGTGGCAACGTGCAATGCGTCCACTCTGCTGACTTTCTTCTTCGTGAGACAAAGTAATTAGTTCTGAGTAATAAGTAGTTGCTACTCCCCCAACCACGCACACTCCATCCCTTCCCTCTCCCTCCTGTATCGTTCTGTATCGTTCTGTATCGTTCTCTATCGTTCAGCTGTTTGGCGACGTTCACGGCCAGTTCTACGGCCTGATGGAGCTCTTCAAAGTGGGCGTTGACTTTTGATCCCTCACCTCCCTCCTCCACCTGCCACCTTTCCCTGAATCCTTCCCCCTCAGCATGCAGGGAAACGCACAGCATGCAAGGGAGGGTGGCAGGTGGAGGAGGGAGGACACTTCGAATGACATGATGGAGGCATTCAAAGTGGACATTCACTCGTGACCCCTCACCTTCTCCCTCCACCCACCAACCTTCTTCCCCTGCATGCATCCTTCCCCCATGCCCCCCTCTACACTCGCAGCTCTGCGGCGACATTCACGGGCAGTTCTATGACATGATGGAGCTCTTTAAAGTGGGCGGAGATTGTCCACAAACGAATTACCTCTTTATGGGGGATTTCGTGGACCGGGGGTTCTACTCCGTTGAGACCTTCCTCCTGCTCTTAGCGCTCAAGGTAAGTGCTGTGCTTATGTAAATGAGATAATTCTGAGTAAGTTTTATGCTTCGGAAGGTTCCCTGATGAAAATGCAGCAACCTAGACATTTCCTGTTTTCCTTGAAATTTTAACTCAGCCCAAATTTGTTTCCACATGTTCTCTTTGCTGTTGTTGTGCTGATGCATTTGGGTTAAGCGTTCCCCCGCGTGCCATGCGTTTGGGTTTGGACTCTGCGCAGGTGCGATACCCTGATAGAATCACACTCATTAGAGGAAACCACGAGAGCCGACAAATAACACAGGTGAGATCCCCTTTCACCTATGACCCTCTCCACATGCGATCCTTCACTATTTAGCAAGTTTATAACTTTGGGAGTGTAGCAGGGGTTTATTTCAACTCTCTGTTCAGTCTCTTCATCCACACTTTTCTCTTTGTGTGTCGTATCCGCCCCAGGTATATGGCTTCTACGACGAGTGCTTGCGCAAGTATGGGTCGGTGAACGTGTGGAGATACTGCACTGACATATTCGACTACCTCAGGTGAGCACTGACATGTTTGAACCTCATACAGGGACACTCTGGCTGGCTGGCCTCTTGCATCATTTGAGTGGGCTATATTTAGCCAGCACGGCTGCAAGTATGGGTCGGTGAACATGTGGAGATACTGCTTCCCCGACATCTTTGACTACCTCAGGTGGGGAACATATGAGATCTATATTCACTATGTCAGGATGACGCTTGATTCTGCTCAACAGTCAGTCACTCACGAATACGGGTTGGTGAATGTGTAGAGATACTGCACCGGCATCTTTGACTACCTCAGGTAATGACTACCTCAGGTAATGACCACCTCAGGTAATGACCACCTCAGGTAATGACCACCTCAGGTAATGACCACCTCAGGTAATGACCACCGTAATGACTTCCTCAGGTAATGACTACCTCAGGTAGTGACTTCCTCAGGTAATGACTACCTCAGGTAGTGACTTCCTCAGGTAATGACTCCTCCAATAAACCCCGAAACGTTGAAGAATCGAGGAAAGCAAACCCGTGTCGTTCCTTCTTTCTCTCCACCCCTGTTCTCTGCTCTCCACCCCAGCTCTAGTGAATGATAAGATCTTCTATGTGCATGGTGGACTCCCTGTACCAATGTGTGTATTTATACACCTAAATCCCCCCCCCCCCCCTCTCCCAGCCAACCCCCTCTCCCAGCCAACCCCCTCTCCCAGCCAACCCCCTCTCCCAGTCAACCCCCTCTCCCCTCTCTCTGCCAGCCTGTCAGCACTAGTGGACAATTAGATCGTCTGTGTGCGTGGCGGCCTCTCCCCCTCCATCACTCTTCTACATCAATGAGTATTGTCGTCCCCACATTCGTCTGCTGGCCCTTTTAAACCCCCTCCCCCCTCCCCCTCCCTCCCTCTGCCAGCCTGTCAGCGCTAGTGGACAATTGGATCTTCTGCGTGCATGGCGGCCTCTCCCGTGCGCTACCTTCCACCGATGTGTATCTTCCTTCCCATATGCGTATCTTACCTCCTCCCCCCCCCTTCTTCTGCCAGCCTGTCAGCGCTAGTGGACAACCAGATCTTCTGTGTGCATGGCGGCCTCTCGCCCTCCATCACCTCACTAGACCAGGTAGTTATCATCACCTGTGGGCCAGGAACTTGATCAGTTAATGTTAACCTTTATACCACGCATGTATCACTTCGACACCAGGTAGCTGATGGGTGGATTGTGGCTGCAGCTTTAGGACCAGGTTACACTTTCCTTTGGCTGCACCGGACAAACAATGCCAATAAGACCTTTGTCCGTTCTAATCGGGTAATGCCTCCACCACCTCTCGTCCCCCCCTATACGCCTCTTCTCTCCCCTCCCTCTCGTCTTCAATCCTGTTTTCGTCCTTCTCTACCATCTCTTCCCACCTATCCCCGCCCCTTTCCCTCCTTTATCGACCCTTCCTAATCTCAACTCGGGATGGAGCCATGTGCCATTTTCTTTGTCAGACTCAGAGAATTTTGATCGTTGGAAGCTGAGCCTGGCGGATTTACCTCCCCTTTTTTCACAACCTTTGCGTGTCTCTGCTTTTGTCTTTCTCCTTGCTCTTTTGTGTGCCGTCTGTGAGTTCCGGGTGATAGACCCCAAACAGGAGCGTCCCCATGATGGGGCCATGAGCGACCTGCTCTGGTCAGACCGACATCTGGGACGCCATCGTTTACATCCTCCCTCTCTCTCTCTCTCCGCTCTTCCGTTTCTGGACAGATACGAGTGATTGACAGGAAACAGGAGGTGCCTCACGACGGAGCCATGTGTGATCTGCTGTGGTCCGACCCAGAGGAGATCGACGGCTGGGGGTTGAGCCCGCGCGGAGCGGGGTACCTGTTTGGCGGGGACGTGGTAACCAGCTTCAACCAGAACAACAACGTGGACCTGATAGCGCGGGCACACCAGCTGGTGATGGAGGGTTACAAGTGGATGTTCAACCAGCAGCTCGTGACTGTGTGGTCTGCGCCCAACTACTGCTACCGGTATGTGTTGCAATGCTAGGACTGTTTCTATAGCCGGTATTGGGACAGGAGGGAGGGAGGGAGGGTGATGGTGTGTGGTTGGGGGCACCTGATAGCAGCATCATCAACGGCACCAGATGGCGATGGAGGCGTGCAAGTGGATGTTCAACCAGCAGCTCGTCACTGTGTGCTCTTCCTCCAATCCAACTACTGCTACCGGTATGTGTTGCAATGCTAGGACTGTTTCTATAGCCGGTATTGGGACAGGAGGGAGGGAGGGAGGGTGATGGTGTGTGGTTGGGGGCACCTGATAGCAGCAACATCAACGGCACCAGATGGCGATGGAGGCGTGCAAGTGGATGTTCAACCAGCAGCTCGTGACTGTGTGGTCTGCGCCCAACTACTGCTACCGGTATGTGTTGCAATGCTAGGACTGTTTCTATAGCCGGTATTGGGACAGGAGGGAGGGAGGGAGGGTGATGGTGTGTGGTTGGGGGCACCTGATAGCAGCAACATCAACGGCACCAGATGGCGATGGAGGCGTGCAAGTGGATGTTCAACCAGCAGCTCGTGACTGTGTGGTCTGCGCCCAACTACTGCTACCGGTATGTGTTGCAATGCTAGGACTGTTTCTATAGCCGGTATTGGGACAGGAGGGAGGGAGGGAGGGTGATGGTGTGTGGTTGGGGGCACCTGATAGCAGCATCATCAAAGGCACCAGCTGGCGATGGAGGCGTGCAAGTGGATGTTCAACCAGCAGCTCGTCACTGTGTGCTCTTCCTCCAATCCAACTACTGCTACCGGTATGTGCGGATGAGGTACCGGTATGTGCGGCGAGGTACCGGTATGTGCGGGTGAGGTCTGACGGGGGATGTTGGGGGTTGGTATTAGCACATGAGGGTGCTGGTGGTGTGGTTGGGGGCACCTGATAGTGCGGGCGCACCAGCTGGTATGCGTGGCGTGGAGGGACAAGATTGGATGTTCAGCTGGTATGTGTGACTTGGGGCCATTGGGATGGGTGCTACCATCTCATGCCTTGAACCTGCTCTCCCTTGCTTTCTTCTTGACTCCCCAACAACACCTCTGTCTTCCTGCTCTCCCTACAACCTCTTGGCAACGTGGCAGCCATCTGGAGCTGAATGAGAATCCAGAGAAGCAGTTTTCTTCCACCACTCACTCTGCTCTCTCACCCCCTCCCTGCCGTCTTGTATTCCCCCCCAGCTGTGGCAACGTGGCAGCCATTCTGGAGCTGAATGAGAATCTGGAGAAGAAATTCCGGGTGTTTGAGGCAGCGCCGCAGGTGGGTGGGAGATAGTTAGTGGGGCTTCTATTTGTTTTTATGTGAGCCTTTCCTTTGTCATCCTCGCTGGCACTGGTGCTGATTGAGAATCTGGAGAAGAGATTCCACATGTTTGAGGCAGCACCGCAGGTGAGAGGGGGATAACTAGTGGGGCTTCTGTGTTTGGCATCGTCACTGGCACTGGTGGGATTGAGAATCCAGAGAAGGGGCTTCCCATACCGCTTCCCCTGTGTCAAGCAGGATGCCTGAGGGGCTGAGTCTAGGGGGCCTGCTCCTGATAACCTCGTGTGGAGGACCCTTCCTAAGGATGACCACCATGGCAAATTCGTTTTTCTCCATCTGCTTTCTTTCTGACATACCCTTTCTCGTTTTCTCCATTACCTCCTGTGTTGAGCAGGATGCTAGAGGGGCTCCTTCTAGACGACCTGCTCCTGACTACTTTCTCTAAAGGCTCATAAGAACTCTACACCTACACCAGTACACCAGTGTGCGTGATGGGGAACTCACATATGGCAGTCTTACGTTTACCGATATATTTCTGGAGAAACATTTGTGGAAAGAACGCCTGTATGGTTGCTGAAACTGTTGGGCTGAAAAAATGCCTTAGGATCTTTCTCAGAGACTAAGTCCCAGTTGTACAAGATGCTTGAGTAGTGCAGCGGAAGTTGAGTAGTTGAACCCTTGCACTAGTAAGTGAGAGCAAGTGATTGATTAAAAGAAGCAAGCATACAGTAATATATAGAGAGTAGGAGATAAAGCAGTTGTAGGATACAGTTGAAGGGACGGTTATCGAGTCGCACAGCGACTCGATTTGTCGGTTCGGTTGCCACCCTTGCAGTCGCAACGGTCAATCGCAACCTCCAGTTGCAACCCTTCGAATCCTTTCGTCCTTTCGTGTTCTTTTGTCCAACCTCCTCTCGTAACCTCCGTTGACTAGTGTACCCGATACGACTTTCCTCGAGTGTAGTGTTACACTCCAGAAACGCTCAAGTCTTCGAGGTATTTCCAACACGCCCCTTCGTTTCTGGAGTGCTGACGTGTCCGGATTCGGTGACGTTTATCTGCCCGGTCAGCAGCATGCAGTAATCGAACTTTGCCTTTGCCAGTTTCTTCGTCAGGTAGTCTGCAGCCATTTCTGTCGTGGGGCAGTAACTGAGTTGAAGTCTCCCCTTCGCGATCTCATCCTTGACGAAGAAATACTGCAGAGCGACGTGCTTGGTTCGATTGGCGAACCCATTTTTGTTCGCGATTTTGATCGCGGATTGGGTGTAGCAAAATAGCGAGAAGACGGGCATGGTCGCGATTTTCGCTTTCTCGAGTAGCTCCCGTAGGTAAAGTCCTTCTTTGGTCGCAGAGCAGAAAGCGATATATTCCGCTTCAGCCGAGGATAGCGCGATTAGTTCCTGCTTGCTTGATTGCCAGGAGATAGTCCTGATAGGCTCTAGTCGGTAGATGTAGCCCCCAGGGTGAAGCCGTGCATGAGACATTGAGGTAAGGCTAGGTGATGTATATGATAAATAGTAATTTTGGATTTCATGAAGCTCGGTGCAGTAAAGGGGCTCTTGTAACGCATTTTCAAAGTAGGTTGAGCAAGACCTAGGTACTGGCTTACGGTGTCTGACACCGTCAGTGTTAAGTCACTCCTTAGCTCCCCTTCGAACCAGGTGACGACGTCGGTAGTGGAGCCGACGTAGAGCAGGTCGTCGACGTAGACGATGAGTAGAATGAAATCCTCCCTCTTTTGTAGTCGGTACATTCCTTGATCGTGCGGCAGCTGCAGGAAGCCGATCCTGATGAGGCGGTCGTGAAGGTGCTGCTGCCAGAGCCGCGGGGCTTGTTTGATTCCGTAGAGGGATTTTACCAGCTGGCATACTTTTGTAGCATCGTCGATGAATCCGTGGGGCTGCTCGACGAAGATTTCGGCGTCCACAGGTGCGTACAGAAAGGCGTTGGCGACATGTCGCATGACTCTTGGTAGCATAAAAGTACCAAGAATGCATGGGACAGCACTGTAGTTTGGGTGTAAGAATAGAGTATAATCGTTCGTGTAGATAGGGTTATGCGATTCAGGGAGTTGGTTGTACAGTACCGAATTTCAGGATAGGAGGTTGGCGCGGAGGTGGACAGTTGGAAAGGGAGGATAGCTGACGTCATCCAGGTCAGCAGGGGTGCGAGCGACACGGAGCGCGGGCATGCAGAGAGGGGATTGGTGCAGGGATGGCACAATTACCGGGAGCCATCATGGGAGAGAAAATCCCGAAACGGCTTGCGGCTAGAGCATTTGGGAGGGAAGGGTTTGGCCTAGGAGGCATCCTCTAGTGAGGGAGAACAAACCAAGGTCGAGCTATCGCTTCGTTACTTTGTTTGTTCTCTCGGACACCGTGGGAAGACTTATATGCCTTGTTGCTAGTGGAAGCTTTCTCGGGCAAAGGTCAGATCCACCATGAGAGGATAAATGAAGGAGAGCTAAGTAGACGAGGTGGTTGAGACGGGACCTCGGGATCTTTTCCTACAAACAAAGTCATGGCGGGCATGTCGCTTCGTAGTGGCGTGCGGTTACCCAAGGGAGACGACTCGTCGCCGAGAGGGGGGGAGCCTCCGGTCAACGAGGGGGGCAGGCATCCGGAATCGCCCAGACCGGGGCTCGCGGGAGATCGCGAGGAGACGAGCGAAGGGGGCGTTGACCGCGGAGCGGCGCTTCGCGGCTCCGACAGCTTCGCGATGCGGGCGGACTGCCGAACGGAGGGATTTGCTTCTGAGGCGGGGGAAGGAACTGCAGGAGCTCGCTCCAAGAGGGCGACGAGCAGAGGAACGGAAGAGGCCCCCGAAGCAGGCGCCGGTGCGGCTGGGGGAGAGAGGCGCGAGAGCGGTGCCCCAGCGACAAGCAGTTTCGGGCCGGGAGGATATTCGCGTCGTTCTGCATGGGAAGAGGGAGCGCGGTACCGCTATACAAGTCTCCCGAAGGTGGAGGTACCCGCGCGATTCACGGGAGACCAGGAAGCAGGTCCGCGTCTGAAGACATACGCTATGCACGTGCGGAGTGAAAAATTCTGCTGGGAGCAGGATGGCTTGGATCTCCGCCATTTCTTCCGGTCGCTGGGCAACACGTTGGCAAGGGATGCGGAAGCCTTCTTTTTGGAGGTTCGCGACCTGCTGTTACAGGAGGAGGAGCGCGATGCCTTCGGTAGAGTGCGCCGCGATGAGGAGGGCCAGATCCTGCGGCTGCGGGACCCCACCGAGCGATTTCTGGCTGAGCTGCAGGAGCACTTCCCAACACAGACGCCGACGCGGCTGAGAGAGTTCGAGCTGCTCCGAAGGGCGCCGCGGGAGTCGCTACTAGCTTACTACCGTCGGGTGGATCAGTTGGCGGAGGATATTAGCTGCCATGAACCGCGGATCGTGGTGGCTAAGTTCTTGGACGGCTTGACCGGAGATCTCGCTCGCACGGCCCGGGATCACACCTATAATCTGGGGCCCAACGCGACCCTGCGCCAGGCATACGAGATAGCGTGGCGAAATGAGCAATCGCTGAGTATGTACGACCTGGGGAGGCGGTCGGAGCGGTCGGAGCGGTCGGGGCTGTGAGACCGGCAGCGTCGAGGGGTCGCTTGGGGAGGAGCGATGCTCGCGGGGAGCGAGGGCGAAGAGGAAGGGAGAAGGGAGACCCGCGGGCACAAAGGAAAGCCGCTTAGGACTCGCAGCGCGACCCCGCCTCCCGGCGAAGAGCCGGTGTGCTACAAATGTCGAGAACCGGGACACTTTAAACGGGACTGTCCTAAGCTGCAGACGTGTGCGTACTGTCAGAGAAAGGGGCACGCCATCGACAACTGCTACACCAGGCAGCGGGAGGAGAAGAACAAAGGGGGCCGCCGGAGTCGGATTGAGGCGCTAGAGGAGGAACTGAAGAAGCTAAGAGCTGCGGAGGAGGAGACTAGCGAAGAGGAAGTAGATCGGGCGGCGTTGCTGGCTAGTGCTCTGCCGGGCGGGGATGAGGAGAAAGGGGAGCCATTTTTCATGGCGGCAGGGAATGAGCGGGACTGGGAAGACTTGGGCCTGCGCAGTGGGGGCGCTGATGGGAGACGAGCAGTGGCGACGACCCGCAGAGGGCTGCGGACCAGAGAAAGGCAGCCCATGACGCAGGCAGCAGCAGGCGCAAGCGAGACGATGGAGCGAGCTGGGGGCAGACACGGTCCACACAGGCACCCTTTTGAGCGCATGGCGGCTCGACCATGTCTGGTGGAAGCGATAGAGGGAGCGGTAGCAGTGGAAGGCAAGTACCCCGGGACAACCATTATAGACACCGGAGCGTCGCAAGTGCTGGTGGGACGTCGTCTGGCAGAGCGGTTGGGCCTGCACCGGGAAGAGAATGTAACACCCAAGGGAGTTCGGATTCAGACGGCAGAAGGAGGGGCGGGCAAGTGGTTGCCAAGGACGCTAAAGGCACAGGAGGTAGTGCTGGCCCCAGGAACTGAGGACGAGGCTAGAATCCGAGTGCACTGCCTAGTGTCGGATTCGGATGACTATGATCTGTTGCTGGGGATGGAACTTCTGTACAAGGTGGGAGCAGTGGTGGACACCTGGACGGAGAGGGTGACGTACCAGCCACGGTATTGGGACCACGAGATACGTAGGGAGGTGAATACTGCAGCCACGCTGCCGGCTTGCTTCCTGAGGAGCCAACCCGAGTACAGGGCTCCGCCAGCCGACAAAGTGCCCGAACTGAGATTCGAGGACGCAGGAGTGTACCTGGAGCGCACCAGTGAACGTAAAAGGTGGGAAGCGGCAGCGGGTCCCAATCTGGCCGAGTACAGAGAAGCGCGCGGGCTAACTGAGCCCACGTACGACTTCGAGACATTCAATCGGCCGATTACGCTGCTGGAGATGTTTGGGGGCATCGGTCCCGGGCTGGCCGCTTGTGTGAGGACGGGGCAAACGATCAAGAAATGGATTTACGTGGAGAAAAGCGAGGAGGTGCGCCTCATGGCCTTCCATCATGCACGCGTGCTGCATGAGCTGTTCCCAGACAAGTTACCAATGGCGGTGGTGGAAGAGGCGGAGGCGGCGGCACGAGAGGTGTATGACGTCCAAAGTATCAGCCCGCAGACAGTGGAGGAATGGGGACAGATTGACCTACTAGTGGTGGGCTGGGAGTGTCAGGGACTCTCCAGGGCCGGAAGGGGCGGAGGACTGACAGATGCTCGGACCGGGCTGTTCCAGGAGCTGATAAGGGTTATGAAGCTGATTAAGAGAAGGCAGGGGCCGGTGGCGTATATCGTGGAAAACCTGGACGTGGCCGAGGACGAGAGAAGCTTAGTGCGTGAAGCACACAGAGCAGTGACAGGGGAGCTAGGACATGGGGTGGCATGGGACGCAGCGCAGATGGGATCCAGGACGCATCGGGTGAGGCGATATTGGCAGAATCTGATATCGGAGCCGGTGCTAAGAGACCAGGTGGGAAGGATGCAGAGACCGCTGCCCAGGCTGATGCAAGATATATTGGAGCCGGGCCGAAGAGCCGCACCAGTCGTTACGCCAGACGTGAAGTCGCAATTCCCATGCAATCAGGTGGGGGCACCGAGGCAGGCTTGGCCAACGTTGGTAGCGACCCCCGCTAGCTACGCTTTTTGAATGGAAGGGAGTGAGCCTGGACCAGGAATGGTGCAGGTGTTGGCAACAGGGAGGTGGGAGGAGCCGTTGG